AGTGGTGTCACCTTGAGACACTTTACACCTACCAGTGGCAATGTGCTTGGCCAAAAGTTCTCTCCTCAACACTATACACCCCACCCCCAGACACACATAAAGTGTGATGATGGAAAATTTGAATGCAAGTGCGCATAGGTCTTGACCACCAAAACTAAAAGGCAGGGTTGATTAACTCATATATCACCTTCTGAAGAGCTGAAAAATCTGACCATCATAAAATCATTAGGCACATAATGTCTGGAGTTAAATTTCCATGGTGTGAAACCGGTTTGGGAGAAAGGAATGAGATTGCTACTCTGAACTGGAAGGAGGTGTAGGGAGGCCCTGGGCACATCAAGGAATTACCTCTCTTTGGTTCTTCCCTTTTGCATATTCTGTATGTCGTGGGTAGACTTTGTTTCTGGAAGCATCTGTGGAGGACCATTATTTTGTCTTTTAGAATAGGAAGGAGGAGCAAGCTGCCTGGGGTTTTGTGGTCTGTTTCTTGGAATTTAGATTATTTAGTTCTTGAGGTACTTAGTCTGTTTGTGGTGCTATTCTATTTATTTTCTCACAGTTCTAGACTCTGGAAGGCCGAGATCAAAGTGCAAACAGAATCATTGTCAGGTAGAGCTCACTATTTGGATTGCCGATTGCATGTTATCACATGGCCTTTTCTACATGGGGGGGGGTATCTCCCGGTGTCTTTTCTTACAAGGACATTAATCCCACCATTAGGGCCCCATTCTCGTGACCTCATCTAAAACTAATCACACCCCAAAGGTCCCAGCTCCAAATACCATCATGTTGGAGGATTAGGGCTTCAACATATGAATTTTGAGGACACACATCCCATCCACTACTCAATGTGTATTAGCCTAAGTCAGAGGTAACATCGTGACCAATCCTCCCTTGAATAGGACAGAAAAAATAGAACAGATCTGAATTAAAAGAAGGTGGAGTATTTTTCATCTGCTAGTTACCCCTGTTCTTGTAAATGATCTTTATCATGACCTTTGGGGACATGAGTATTAAAACATGGAACTCTTTCTGTGGAGGAAAAATAAATAGGTTTTCCCTTCTAAGAAAAGTCTTAGATTTCCTTCTAAGAAAAAGCATAAAGTTTGTGGGACCTGGGAGGTAAGCAAGCCTGTTCCACAGTGCCCTACAGCTCAGAGAAAATTAGGCAGCCTAAATGAGCTCCAAATTGTTTGCTTTGAAATTCCAGAGGCTCACCCAGCCCTTCTGGTTTCCTGGAATGCTTTTGCTGGGTTGTCATGTGGTAGCTGGGGAAAAACCCAGAAGCATCTCAGGGGGAGATGGAATAACACCTCCTCCGCCATCGGAGACATACCCCCGTGACGCACAGCCCTGAAGACTCGCTGGCACAGCCAAAGAAAGAGTGGCCAGTTGTGAGAGATCCACTCAGAGTCAGGGTATCTCAGCCCCACACTCACTCCCAGGTCACCAAAGCCACTGCTTCCTAGAAGAGCCTGAAAGGACCTGATGGCTCAGGCTAACACCAGTTAGGTCATCATGTGTGTCACGACAAAGGTGAAGCGGAGGTGACTGCGGAAGGTCTGGTTTCCCCGAGCGGTGGGATTTTATTATTCTCATCTCAAATGCTGTAACTCACCCGGAAAGGTATTAAATGCACCTACTTCCCTTTCTGAAGTAGTGGGATGTGGCAGCTGCTGTCTGGGTGATAGGAAGAGGGATAAAAGGAAGAGGAAAAGGAGGGAGGAAAAATACTAGATCTGACGGAATCTGCCAAGGGAAAGCAGGCAGTGAGGGGGAAATGGGAACATCTCCACTGAGGATGGCCATACGCTGGGCCTACAGGCTGCTGCGCAGAGTTCCATAAGCCGGGGTGTCATGACAAACACCCTCATTTTACAGGGGCATTTACTTTTTTTTTTTTTCGCTAAACCTTGAAGAACCTCAAGGAGAGATGTTTGTGAAGTCAAAATGGATTTACCCCTTCTATGGGTGAATTTGTGAACTGGATTCCTAATATATGCAAGGCCTGGAACTGATATAAATCTCAGGACTGGTGTAAATAATAGCCATTAATGACAAAAAATATATCATTAACTACAATAAGGAACAGTAGCATGAAGTCCTGACTTCGTACTAAGTCCTGCACCACTTAACCCTCAACAACTCTAGAGAAGAATGTTTGCACACCCACTTTATAGAGTAAGACGCAGAAACTGAGCAATTAAGCTCCTGATCACCCAGCAAAAATGAGGCAGAGTCAGTACTGAAATCAGGGTCTGAGTGATTCTTAAAATGTTAAGTTGGCTTAGCAGGTTAAAGCACTGCACTGAGAAGTTTAAGCCGCTTCCGCATGAGTTCTATCCCGCCTGCCCCGGAGGAGACCACATGGCGAGGCAGACCTCTCCTGACCCGCCCGCTGCTCCCCTCAGCAGTGTACTTCGTAGATCTGCCTGTTCTGTACCCCGCTCTGTCCCTGGTGAATCCTCTCACCTTCCACATCTCTGGCCTGTATCCCAATTCTGTATGAATAAATAAATAAATCTTTATATAAAAAAAAAGTTAAGTTAGCCCAGCAGACCTCTCCTGCTCTCAGCAGTGTACTTTGCCATTCTGCTTCCCACTCTCTCTCTGCTGAAATCTCTCACCCCCACCCCCCTGCCCTCTGGTCTGTACCCCGGTTGGTTCTATATGCATAAACGAATAAATCTTTATAATAATAATAAAAAAAAGTTATGACTGGTAGAAATAACCTCACTTTTTTTTTTTTTTTGAGATTTATTTATTTGTGCATACAGAACTCGGGTACAGGCCAGAGGCTCAGGGACGGTAAGAGGCTTCACCAGAGACAGAGTAGGGAGCAGAACATGCAGATCGATGAAGTACACTGCTAAGGGCAGGTCAGGAGAGGTCTGCAGCGCCATGTGGTCACCTCCGGGGCAGGCGGGAATCGAACTCCTGTGGTGGTGGCTTTAGCTTCTTATTCTTAGTGCGGCGCTTTAACCCGCTGTGCCAGCGGGGAGGGCCAACCTCACTTCTTAAAAGTGAGTATCTTTTTCACTAGCTGGTTTAGGATTGCCTCCAGCAGATAAAGAAAGACCTGGGAAAACATGAGAGGCAATTCCTTCCTCCCGCCAGCCCACAGCAGGACAAGCTTAATGAGTGCAGGCGCTATACTGCCATCCGGCCCTATTTCCAGCCAGTCCCTCCACAGACACGGGCTGTGGGAAAGAGCTGTGGGCTTGTGGACGAGTGGAGACTGAGGTTTCCACTCACCCTCCTCCCACACTGTCCCTGCAGCGCTCACCTTGGGGAGATGACATCATTCGCCGATTCCAAACCAAGTAGAAATTATGAAATGGCTAGTTTAATTATAGCTTCCGTGGAGACACCTGCACATCCAACAGGCCACACATACCCTTACAAGTGATGACCCTATCCAGGCCACTTCTTTTTAAGATGTCCCTAGTATACAACACCAGCACAGTCCTTGGAAGGTATTAAAACACAGATTTGAGGGTTCTACCACAGTGTTTTCGATTCAGTAAGTCTAATGAAGCGCCCAAGAATTTAACACACAAGTTCCAAGTGCCACACAAGTTCCTGGTGCTGGTAGCACGTGGTGGAAGGAGCGCCCTTTGAAGGCGCCCTATCATGGAGGTTCTAGTGGAGAATGCTCCTCCTTCCCTTTTCCAGCTCCTAGAGGATGCCTGTATTCCTTGCCTATTGGCCCTTTCCCCATCTTCAAGCCAGCAGAGGAACAGTGCCCCCAGATTCCACCCTCACAACCACTTCTGCTTGTACAATCACACCTCTTTCTCTGACTCTGACCCTCCCACCTTCCTCTTATAAGAATCTTTGTGAGGGCCTGCCTGGTGGTGCAGGGGTTAAAGTCAGCACTAGTGGACTCTCCCTGGTGGTGCAATGGGTTAAAGCACAGCACTATGAAGTTATATGAAGCCACTGCAGCACGAGTTCAATTCCTGGCCAGGGAGGTGACCCACATGGTGTGGCAGACCTCACCTGTCTAACCCTCTGCTCCCCTCAGCAGTGTATTTCAGTACATCTGCCTGTTCTGCTCTCCACTCTGTCTCTGGTGAATCCTCTCACCCCCTGCACCTCTGGCCTATACAACAGTTATGTATGCATAAATAAATAAATCTTTAAAAAAAATAAAAAAAAGGTCCTCCCTGGTGGCACAGTGGGTTAAAGCACAGCTCTGAGACACTAAAACCACTTCAGCATGAGTTCAATTCCCGCCCACCCTCAAGGTGATCCACCTGGCTCGGCAGACCTCTCCTGGCCCACCCACTGCTCCCCTCAGCAGTCAGCCTGTTCCGCTCCTCACTCTGGTGAATCTTCTCACTGCCCCTGCACCTTGGGCTGGTACCCCAGCTCATTATGCATAAATAAATAATTTTTTTTTAAAAAAAGTCAGCACTATCAAGCTATCACCAACCATTGGGACCAGAGTTCAACCCCCAGCAAGGGAAGTGACCCACATGGCACAGCAGATCTCTCCTGTCTTGCCCTTGCTCTCGTCAGCAGTGTATTTCAGTAGATCTACCTGTTCTGCTCCTAGTCCCTTCCCACCACCCACATCTCTGGCCTACACCCCAGTTCTTATATACATAAGATCTTTTAAAAAAAGATTTTAAAGATTTATATAAATAATTCTTAAAAAAAAAAAAAAAAGAAAGAATCATGGGTGATTTGGTGATGGGAAGCCCACAGGGATTACAGCTGAGATGGAAAAATGCACAAAATGATGCAAAAATAAAATATTATGCTATTTTTTTAAAAAACTGCAGAAACAGAGTTTAAAAAAAAAAAGAATCCTTGTGATTTCTCTGGGCACACTCCAATTGAGCCCACCTAGGTAACTCAGGATAATATTCCTATTTTAAGACCCTTAATTTAATCGCATCCAGAAAGCTCTCTCTTCATAAAGGGTCAAAATTGTGGATATGTTGAAGATTAAGATGCAGGAATCTTTAGAACTCATCATTCTGTCTACTCACCCTGTCCAGCCCACCACCTGCTTCAGTTTCTGCAGTTACCCCTCCTCTTCTCCATGCTTCTTCCTAAGAGACAGAGAGCCAAAAATAACATTAGGACCTACACTATACAACTGTTGGGGACTGTTCCAATCACGGATTGTTGGGGGGCAGAACAGGCAGGGTCATAAGGTGGGAGTGACATTCACGAGCTGAGATTCCTAAAACGGGGGGGGGGGGGGGGGACGGACATGAGGAAGACAGGGGAATAGGAGTTGGGTGCAAGTCTTCCTGTTCTGCTGTCAGCAGCTTATTTTATACATTTCAAGCAAGCAGTGAGATAACATTAGCATATGAATTGGGCTAAGATCACAATTATCTTTTTTTCTGAGAAGTTTGGGGTCGTATTGACCTTCAGCTGAGATATAACATTTATTATTCTTAAAATCGATCTGTTAAAATTAAGATAGGTACATAGATTCATAAAATTTAAGGCTAACATTGTTATATTTATCACAGTGATGAGTGGCTAAAATAAAGTCTCTTTAAACCTTAAATGCTACTTAATGATCTTCATTCTTATTGAGACATCTTAGAGGGTAAAGGCAAGTCGAGGATTAGAGTGGAGGCTGGGCTGAAGACTCGGGTCAAGGTGAAGTTGTAAAAGAGGGTAAGGTGAAGTGGAAGACTAGGGTGAAAGAGTTTTCTGGTAAACAAATCACTAAGGGAGGTAGTAAGATTCCTCATTTAAAGACTAAGCAATAAAAGCTTAAGTAAGAGAGTAGAGTGATAAGATTTGGGTTTTCATATGGGCAGTAAAAGAACTTTACTTATTTTTTAGCATATTCTAGTACTGCCTTGTCTTACAATATTGATTTTGTTGTAATTGCTTTTATTAATCAGCCAGTTGTAAAATTATTTTTGCTTTCAAGAGGAATGTCCTGTCTTGGGGCAGCGCTTACTCACCTGAGCCAGGCAGCACCTTGAGGCTAAGGCAATCTGGTTGCAAGCTGATGGTTGCTTAGAATATTTTGATATTACAAAAAAGGGAGGGCATAACATAAGTTAGCGTGGAAATTCTGATTTTTCAGAGCATTTCCCTCCACTTGGAATTTGTCCGTCGACAGAAGTTGTATATAGCTTGTGTCATGCAACCAGTTCTTCTGACTCTCCCAGTTATATCTTGGGGATGGAGGTGGAGAGGGAGAAGTCAAAAGATAGAAGAGGAGAGGGAGAAGGAAGGTCCCTGGTGTCCAGGAGAACATGAGGGGGACAGTGACACTTTCCTGGGGATGAGCTGCTAAACCTTGCCCCAAAACACCTATAAATTTCCCTCTACTTGTTAGACTCTCCAGAGCCCAGCACCACAGCCCCTCCCCTTGTGAGCCAAGGGGCTGGGCTTGCTGAAGGTCAACAGTCCGGTCTAGGCTGTGCCAGCAGCACCACCTACAGAACCTGCCAGCAGGCGGCTGGTGAAAGACACACAAAGAGGAATTCTATATTAAAACGTCTTCTTGCCTTTGAATCTCTGGTTATTTCCCTTCAGAACTTTTCTGGGCTGAAGTCCCAACCTCAAGGCTGTGAACTTTCTGTGGGTTGAGTGTTAGTTCAGTAAGACTGACTTAACCAACTAGCAGGGACTGGATGACTTAATAGAAATCAATGTTCTCACAATTCTGAAGACTGCACGCCCAAGATCAAGGCGTAGATTTTCTTCTGAGGCTTCTATCCTTGGCTTGCAGATCATACATCCTCACAATCCTTCCTCTGTGATCATCTGCCTCCCTCTCTTCTTGTAAGGACATCATTAGGGATTTGGGCCCACCCTAGTGACCTCTACTTAATCCCCTCCTTAAGGACTTTTCCTCCAAATATGATTATTCTGAAGCCCTGAGAATCAAGACTTGGATTCTAAAGGGAGGAGAGGAACCCAATTCAGCTGAGACAAGAGGACTAGCCCCATGGAGGGTTTGAAAGATCACTTTCCTTCTCAACCATTTAACTAATCAGTGAGCACAATTTGGTTGTCTAGGGAGATGACTGAGTTACGCCATTGACTTGAAAGTGTGCATTGAGACCTATAACTGCCTTTTTGGTGTGAGGTAAAAGATAAGGGAAAGCAGAGAAAGTCCAAGTAGTGGCCACAGTTTTAGTCTTGTCTGTGTGAGCAAGAAGCAACATTTCAGGCTTGCATTCCCCAGAGCCAAGTCCCTACAGAAGGCTGTTTGCTTGATACATAACTCACAGCTAGTCACAGAAATTCCACCAAGTCAATATATACCCTGAAGACAGGAAATAAAGGAGCAGACAGTGAGTGTGCTTGATGCTCTTTGAAAAGGCTGTGTGATAGAGAATGATTTCATTCTCTAGGCATGCCTCAAAGAGGGAAGTCAAACAGCCCACAAGTTGAAACAAACCAAACAGCTTTATCTTATTCTTGATTCATGAGTTCCTCTTTCTTCAAAGCCCTTTAGAGGCAGGACTGTATGAACAGTAATTGTTAGAGTAGCTGCTGGTACAAGGTCTTTGCCAGATCATGCTGTGTCTGTGGCTTACAGGATGTGGAATCTGGCTTTTATTTTTTAGCAACCCTTTGCTACTTGCTGGTCAAATTCACTCACAACATAGGCTTAAAATGTATAATGTAAATATAGGCCCTCCCTGGTGGTGCAACGGGTTAGGACGCAGCACGGCAAGCTGGCAGCAGCTGCTTCAGTGCAAGTTCGATCCCCAGCCCCAGAGGTGACCACGTGGTGTGGCAGACCTCTCCTGATCTGCCCGCTGCTCCCCTCAGCAGTGTACTTCATTGATCAACCTGTTCTGCTCCCCACTCTGTCTCTAGTGAAGCCTCTCACCGCCCCTGCACCTCTGGCCTGTACCCCAGTTCTGTATGAATAAATTAATAAATCTTTAAAATATATATATGTACATATATATATACATATAATATAAATACATGCTTAAATGAAATAAGCCAATCACACACAAAAAGAGAAATACTGTATGAGTCCACTTACAACAGAGACCTAAAAAAGGCAAAATCATAGAGGCAGAAAGTAGGTGATTGCCAGGAACTGGAGGAGAAGAAGGGAGTTACTGTCTAAGGAGTACAGAGTTTCATTTGCAAGTTGAAAGTGTTCTGGAGACTGGTAGCACAACCATGTAAATGTCTTCACTGAAATGTAAAATAAAAATGGTTAACATGGTAATGTATATTTTTAAAAAGCTGTTGGAAGAGATCCTATAATAGGGGAAAAAAACCCAAAAAACACACAGGGAGAGAGCCAGGCTAAGCTAGGCTTGCCCCCCACGTCTGCCACTTGTGAGTTGGGGGGAAATGTTCTATTTACTTCTGTGCAACAACAAATCACCAAAATAGCACCTTTAAATAACAGAAATCCTCTTGCTGCTTCTCAGTGACTATGAGGCTGGAATTTAGGAAGAACTCCAGCTAGGGTCCTCCCCAGTTTGCAGTCCTAGTAATACAGGAACAACCCAATCCTGGCCAAGTAACTTCCTCTCTGATAGCTTCAAGGCTTCTCAGAGGCCATGCACACAGCTGACGTGGGTGTCCTCAGCCCAGCAGCGTGGGGACAGTGTATTAAGGGACAGTGTATTAGAGCCAGGCAGTTCAGGACTCCCAACAGACAGCTGCCCCAGGGAGTGAGGCCAAGTGGCATCCTTTCCCCAAATCACCTCACAAAGTCCCACATCCTTCACAATCCCAGTCCCAGGGAAATCCTACTCCAGACTCAAGGGGAAGGTGGTTAGACTCCACCTCTTGCAAAGCTCTGGAGTCATGCTTGCCAAACTCTGGCCACCTCTCTAGAACACTGTGTCCATGTGTTCACATAGTGTGTCTGACTTTGCCCCAGTGCAGAGCTCAGTGGTTAGGTCAAAGCCCAAACCTTTACTCTAAAGCTCTTCCAGAAAAGTTGGTCTATTCCTGGTCTAGAAGGACACACTGAATGGAAGAGTTTCATCCACCTGTGGGACAGGCAGCTGCCACAGGCAGCTTGTCAGTCTCTGGATTTTACCTGTCTCCCAACCGACAGAATGATGATCCTGTGTGAAACTTAATTAAGATTTGAGAAAGGTCCTCCCTGGTGGCACAGCGGATTAAAGCGCAGCACTGAGAAACTAAAGCCACTTCCGCATGAGTTCGATTCCCGCCTGCCCCGGAGGTGACCACATGGAGCTGCAGACCTCTCCTGACCCGCCCGCTGCTCCCCTCATCAGTGTACTTCGTCAATCTGCCTGTTCTGCTCCCCAGTTTGTCTATGGTGAAACCTCTCACCGCCCCTGAGCCTCTGGACTGTACCCCAGTTCTGTATGCACAAATAAATAAATCTAAAAAAAAAAAAAAGATTTGAGAACCACAGCAAGGTCCTGTTTGCAGCCACCATGGGCTATTTGCGTTGCTGGGAAAAGCCCAGTTTTAGACACTTCTTGGAATTAAGGTAAACTTTATGATACCAGGCCCTCTCCTTGAAAATGCATATTCCTTGCTGTTGAGAAATGTTTACAAAAATTCTTTTTAAAAGGTGCGATTTTCCTCATGCTTTTCTTTATCAGACTAGCTAAAGCAAGAACCCAAAGAAAAGACAAAGATTCTGTAAATCTGAGACAGAGTAGGGAAGGTCGGGATGGTAGCAGAGCTCTTGTTGCCTTTGGAGAGAAAAATTCAAGAAACTTTATCTACTTCACAGTTGTGCTTACTGCTGCTTCTGCTTCAAAGCAATAAAATGTTTTCTTGACCTCCCTTCCCCTAATTGCCCAGGCTTGCTATCTCCTCACCAGCCTCCTCCCACCTGCCAGGATCTCCCTTGAATTTTTTCTCTCCTCACCCTGAATGTTTCCAAGGCCAGTGCTCCAGCAACTCCCTGAGAGATTAGCCATAGTGAGCCAGCTTTACTGCTCCAAATTCAAATGGGCACACAGAGCCTATGCATTCAGCTCTCTGAACTCTTTCTCAATAGCAGCGAGCTTTTCTACTTTAGAAAAGAGAACCCACGGCATTTGCTATGGTAACATTAGATCTTTCAGTCCTAAGTTTTCTACTCATTTACTCAAAACCTATCCAAATCATCAACTCTATCTTCTTTCAAAACTATTTTCTCACACCACTCTGTTTCCAATCACTTTGAAAATCTCCTTGGCTTCACCCTAAGCTCTGTTCCTATTTATTGCAGTTATTTACCTCCATGGTTTGGTTTTTTTTTTACAACAGTTTATTTTTACATCATTTTGTACATTTTTTTTCCCATCTCAATTGTAATCCCCACGGGTTTCCCATCACCTCCTCCATGGTTTTTTAAAAGGTTTTTATTTATTTATGCGAACAAGAACTGGGGTACAGGCCAGAGATGTGGGGATAGAGTAGGGAGCAGAATAAGCTGATCTGCTGAAATATACTGCTGAAGGGAACAGAGGGTGAGACAGAAGTCTGCCATGCCATGTGGGTCACCTCCTTGGCTGGGAATTGAACTTGTGCTATATTGGCTATGAAAGCTTCATAGTGCTGTACTTTTACCCACTGCGCCACCAGGGAGGACCCTGCCATGATATTTTTATATTATGTATTACAAGTGGTTGGGTGGTGGGTGGCAGTTGGGAAGTATGCTGTCTGATGATGAAAGGATAATCTCGGCCCTCCCTGGTGACACAAGAGGTTAAACTGCAGCACTCAGAAGCTGGCCAAGGCCACTTGGGTGTGCATTAGAATCCTGCCCTGAAGATGACCCACATGGGGTAGCAGACCTCTCTATTCTCTCGCCCGCTGCTTCCCACAGCAGTGTTCTTCTATCTGCCTGTTCTGCTTCCCATTCTGGCGAACCCTCTCACCACCCCTGTACCTCTGGCCTATACCCCAGCTCTGTATGCATAAATAAAAAGAAATCTTAAAAAAAAATAATAATCACTTTGCAGCTATAAATTTTTGCATCATTTTCCCATCTTTTTTTTGCCTAAATCTGCATTTTTCATAAGGCATTTTCTGGTATCCCCTAAGCTCTTACTCAATAGCTGCCAAAGACCAACTCAATTTATGCTACTCTAGGAAGAATTGTGATTTGGAGAAGTTATGGAGTTGGCTCTCAGCAATTACTTCTATTAGTTCTCTTGCTGAAACAACTGCATAGAACTTTGCAATTTACAAAGGTCTTTTGCACAGGCTACCTAATAATGTTCACTGTGACAACATTTTAGTCACAATCCCAGCCTACAGACTGTCAGGAAAGGAAGTAGAGAATAGTTAAGTATTATGTCCTCCATAGACTTACAAACCTGGAGTTCAAAGGACCTTTGAAGACCCACTTGTATATGTAAAGATTTATTAATTTATGCATATAAGAACTGGGGTGTAGGATAGTGGTGAGGTTTCACCAGAGACAGAGTGGGGTGCAAAACAGGCAGATCTACTGAAACACACTGCTGAGAGAAGCAGCAGAGAAGACAGGAGAGGTCTGCTGCACCATGTGGGTCATCTCCCTGGCTAGGGATCGAACTCGTGTTGCCGTGGGATATGAAGCTGGGCATAGCTTCATAGTGCTGACCTAACCCCTTCTGCTACCAGGGAAACCCCCATTCATAAATGTACACTTCCTAAGTGTGCTGGGTCCTGCACTCTTTCAACTAACCATCTTTGTTTCCTTGATCCCTTTCTCCAAAGGCCAGCCCATTTTCTTTGAAAATGCCTACTTATTTTATATAGATATCACTTATAAAATAAAGTGCTGTGCACATTTATTGTATCAGATCAGTAAATTTTTTCAACGGTCTACTTCCTAACCTAACCTCTCTTATATTAGTGATAGTACAATGAACTAAAATGCAGACTTTAAGCTCTATATGTAGTAGAACAACTTTGGTTATTTTGTTTATTTTTATCCCAAGGAATAACTAAAAATGAAAATGTGACTGAGATGGTCGTTGTTTCAGATATGCCTTTTTGGCAGACAGTTGGAATTTAAAGGTCACATGAAATCAGTTTTGAGTATCTCTCTGTAAGAGGAACACCCCAGTAAATATGAGCAGCAGAGTCTTAGTCTGAAATTCAGTTAGTTTCAAGAGCTACTACCTGACACTGGACTGAATAACTGAGATATTTGATTGAGACAGCAATGGACAGGTGTGATTTTACACCTTCAGGTACAACTGCAGCTTCAGTGGTAGAAGGCTTGCACAGGACCCTAGGTTTATCTGGCTTAGAAGCTGCTAAGACAAAATAAAGGGTTCTCTTCCATGGAATTGTCGATAATGTTATTAATGTTGTATTTTATTTATTGAACGTAGCGAAAAAATCTCCCCTTCCACTCCCCAAATATCCTTCTAGTTCTCTCACTAATCAAGCAATCAAATTGACATTAATTAGATTTGCAGGAGAACAAATTTAATTACATGTATAGAGAAACTACATACATGTGAATTCTAAAGTAAATGGATCAATGCAATTGAGGAACGCGATTGAGGCTTCTAGAGAAGCAGCTCTCACATGAGAAAAGGACCAGGTGCTCTTTAACTAGATGTTCCACCTGACATGTAGAGGCAGGTTTTCTGGAAACAATCCTAAACCCCAATATTCCAATTTTCATTCTTTTAAGGGAATTAAGAGGGTGGTAGAAGTTTCTGTGGGGGTTACAAGACCTCTGTTGAGGCTCAAAATAATGCACATGTCAAAATGTCTTGAGAAAACCTGTCCTGAGCATTGGGAAGGCCTATCTTTCAAGCACTTTTTTTTTTATTTTTATTTATTTATGCATACAAGACCTGGATTGTGGACTAGAAGCACAGTGTGTTAAAGCACAGCACTATGAAGCTAGCCACAGCAGCTTCAGCACTTGTTCGATCCCAGGCCAGGGAGCTGACCCACATGGCACAGCAGACCCCTTCTGTCTCACCCGCTGCTCCCCTCAGCAGTGTACTTCGGTCGATCTACCTCTTCTACACCCCATTCTGTCTCTGGTGAATCTTCTCACTGCCCCTGCACCTTTGGCCTGTACCCCATTTCTGTATGCATAAATTAAATCTTTAAAATAATAATAGTGCATCTACATGTGACATGACAAGAAAAGTTACAGTTTGCCTGACAGATTCTTAGTAATTTAAGTGGATCATTTTAGGACTGCTGGCTTGCCTAATTATGATGCTATGTTGAGGAAATCTACTGGAAAGGTTTTAAAAAGAGTTTGACAAGGGTGTGCAGTTTGTTTTTTGTTGTTTTTTTTTTTAAGATTAACTTATTTTTGCATACAAGAACGGGTATACAGTCCAGAGGTACAGGAGTTGAGAGGATTCACCAGAGACAGAGAGGGGAACAGAACAAGCAGATCGAACGAAGCACACTGCTGAGGGGAGCAGCAGACCTGCCATGTGGGTCAGCTCCCTGGCTGAGATAGAACTTGTGCTGCAGTGGCTGGAGATGGCTTCACTTTAACCCCTTGTGCCACCAGGGAGGTCCCAAGGGTGTGCAGTTTAAAATCTTGATGAACTTAGACAGGTGAGCTGGCCCATTCCTATCTCATCCTCTAACCCCATCACTGGAAATCATTCTTGTCAAACATGAAAGCCAAGGAAAACATAACTGCAAGTGATTTTTTTTTTCCTTTTTATTTCTAAACTAAAAAGTGCTATACAGTTCAAAAAAGCTATAAAAACACTGATAGGAATCTACCTTGCGAACCATGGAAGATTGTGGCAAGTAGTCCAACTCCAGGATCGTGACAGCAAAATAGGACCGCGTCGCTTAGCTGTGCAATTTGAGGAGGGGTTGCTGACACAGAAGCACGGTGGGCCATGAGGGCTGGAATGGGGAACAGAGGCACAAAACTGTAAGAATTCAGCTGAAGAGCAAAATGGACCAGCCACAACTCACACATCGAGACGTGATTCCACATGGTAACGATGCACCCTCTCAGAGGTGATTTCATTCTCTGTGCATCTCCTCATATCAGGTAGCTAGAAACAGGGCTGGAAGAGGGAACATAGTGGGGAGGGGGACACGGCTGAGAGGAGTCACCAGAAACAGGATTCATCTGCAGAAGAGGCAGATCTACTGAAGTACACTGCTGAGCGAAGCAGCAGGTGAGACAGGAGAGGTCTGCTGTGCCATGTGGGTCAGCTCCCTGGCTGGGGATGGACACCTGAAACAGCAGCTGAGGATGGCTTGACAGTGCTGAGACTTTAACCCCTGCCCCACCAGGAAGGTCCCAGGTCAGGTTCTGAACTCTGCTTTTTCCAGCTGCCACTTTACCACTGAGGAAAGTTGGACCAGGGAGGTTGAAAAAGTCTTTGAAATTGTGACAATGGGGCCAGGTGATGTATTTGCCATGCAGAATCATTTAAATCAACAAGAAAATAAAGGAGTAAACAATGTTCTGCCTAATCACTAATTTACTTGTACTTACAAGCTAAGAGTGATGCATTCTACAAAAAAAGTGTAGGTGGTACTGGTAGAACACTCATGAAGTGCATCTTGAATGTACCTGAGTTTTCCAAGCAGGGAAGGATACTTAGCCTATATAAAGTAAAACCTATAAAATGCAAGCCCAAATAAACATGCAGATAAATAAAGTTTTTTAAATAAATTCAAAGTGACTCTGATAGTAAATACACTTCTTTCCTCAAATAGTAGAAGTCTAGCGACAGGATAGCCGATGAATTTACCATAATTGGGTTTTTGCCACTGTTAAACCTGTCATCCCCAGCTTGTCTTCTCTGGAAGATGCACCCCGCCCCCCCACCCCCCCCCTTCACCTCCCTCCCCACTCCACCCCTGCAGTCCCCAGAAGGCAGTCTCAGCTCTCTGTATCTCTTTTGTTGATATCAAAGTAGAAAAAGGAAAGGGTTTGTCCCTTTAATGAGGGAGAGTAACTTTCCCAGAAGCAAACACCCTTCTCATCCCTTTGTCTTGTAAACAAACAAAGAGCCTGCAAATGTAGGGCGCAGACCACTGCCAAAAAAGTCATGGCTACTTGGAAAAGTCAACAGAATTTGTGGTGCCACTAGCAAGAAAGGGTAGTTAGAAGCAGCAATGCTTAGGCAGGCATAAAGGCATTTACAAAGATAGTGCATTCTGTAAATGCTGCGTAGGTAAGTGTGAGAATGTCAGGAGAGGTTAATAAAGGATCCACAGCCAGAGTGTATAGGAGTTAGTTACATGCCACTGTTGGGCTATGTTTTGGTGTCAGTGTTCCTTAAGATTCTTTTTTGTTTTTTTAGGTTTATTTATGCATACAAGAACTGGGGTATAAGCCAGAGGTGCGGGGAAGGGAGCAGAACAGGCAGATTGACTGAAATACACTGCTGAGGGGAACAGCAGGCAAGACAAGAGAGGTCTGCTGTGCCATGTGGGTCAGCTCCCTGGTCGGGGATCAAATCGTGCTGCAGTGGCTGTGGTAGCTTCATAGTGCTGTGCTTTAACCCTGTTATGCCTCAAGGGAGGGCTCAGTGTTCCTTAAGATTCTAAAGAAATGGCCTCCTTGGGAGGGCTCAGTGCTATCAAGCTATCACCAGCCACAGCAGAATGGGTTTGATCCCTGGCCAGGGAGCTGACCCACATCATATATGCCGCAGCAGCCCTCTCCTGACCCACTTGCTGCTCCCCTCAGTAGTATATTTCAGTCCATCTACCTGTTCTGCTCCCCACTCTGTCTAAGGTGAATCCACTCACCTCCCTGTACTTCTGGCCTACACCCCAGTTCTTCTATGCATAAATTAAAAAATCTTTTAAAGACAACTAAATATCAAACATTAATGGTTTTTCATTATTTTTGAAATGTGGCAATCATATAAAAATTCTTTAATAACATACATAGCAACATGTATAATAAAACAAAATGAGTCAGTAAAGATATACCATATCTAATTTTAATTCTGACATTTTTATATTCTTAAAATTATAACAGTAATCCATGTTCTATTTTTTAAAATAAGAAAATTCAAAGAAACCAAAAGAATTAAGTAAAAATCATCCATATAAGCCTATGGCTTGGTATCAAAAAGGCCAAAGTGAAGCCTTTATGTGCATAGTAATTTTATGAAGTACAGTAGTGGCTTGTTATAAATAAACCTCAATGTCAAGTTCTTTTTTTCTTTTTCTTGCATACAAGAACTGGGGTGTAGAGGTGCAAAGGGGTGAGAGGCAGTGGGGAGTAGAACAGGCAGACTGAAGTACACTGCTGAGGGGAGCAGCCGGTGAGGTGAGACAGGAGAGATCTGCAGCGCCATGTGGGTCAGCTTCCTGGCTGGGGGTAGAACTGGTGCTGCCGTGGCTGCAGACAGCTTCATAGTGCTGAGACTCAACCCCTGTGCCACCAGGGAGGCCCCAGTGTCAAGTTCTTACTATAGTTTTCTAGTAAACAAAAGCAAGCTATGGCTGATCAGTTTAGAGGGTGAATAGCAACAAGTAAAGGAAATGCATACTTGGGTTGATAAATTATAGAGTACAACAGATACCACATTAGGGGAAAAAATAAGTGGCAACATTGTGGTTTCTTTTTTTCCCCAAAGGGGTATGTTTCTGTTTGATGACTTTTTATGTCGTAGGCCAGGTTATCTAAACCCAATCTTCGGGTAAGGTAGGTCAGCAGCTCCAGTCAGTCTTTAAGAGCAGGGAGGGCTTCAGTGTGGTCTGGCCTGGACGCCCGGGGGCAGGGTTATGGGAACTGGGGCCAGATCTGATCCAGGTGAGGAGCGAGGTCACGGTTGCCTGCGCTTCAGCGCTGAGGGAGGCTTGGGGACATTCTTAAGAGGCAACCTCAGGAAGGTTGAGTCTGCCATTGTGGCCCCTCAGAAGGACCACTGCAAAAGATCAGAACTTGTAATGTTCTTTAACTTCCCACTTCCAATTTTAAAAAGGAAATCTAAATATCTCTCAAGTAGCAAACAATAACAAGACTTGTAAAATGCTGGGGCCTGTCTAGGCAGGAGGCCATTATGGAGGTTGTTAGATTTTGTTTTGAAGTCACCCTTTAATCTTATGATTCTCTTTTATACAAACTTATTAGAAGCAATAGTGGGGTCCAGAAAAAGTGGTTCCTTGATATGTGCTGCTTGGTCTGTCTGTTAGCTATAGAGCACAAAGATTATTCTGCCACTAAAAAAGCTGTTTGACCTTGGGAAAGTCACTGAACCACTCTGATCCTTACAAAGGGAAAGTTCAAGCCAGAGGTTCAGAGTGGCAGCCTCAAAGAGCTCTTGGAGATGGCTGAGTTCTGACCCTCTCGCCTGTGAGGGAGCTGAGGGTCAGGGTGAATTAGCAGCCAAAACCCCAGTAGCTGTCTCCAAGTTTTATTATTTTGACTTTAAGAGGAATTCAGTGAATTTGGAAATTATTAGGTTGTGTTTGAAAAACAAATAAGCAGGAAATTAAAAAAAAAAAAACTATTTTACTGCTTAGGAGATTTTTACCTTTATTTATTTCTTGCACATAGAAGACCTGGCGTCCAGGTCAGTGGTGCAGGAGGTGAGAGGATTCACCAGAGACAGAGTTGGGAGCAAAGTAGGCTGGTTTAAGGAAATCCACCTTTGAGAGGCAGGAAAGGTCTGCTGGGCCATGTGGGTCACCAACCAGGTCAGGGATTGAACTCAGGCTGAGACTTAACCCCTAGGCCAACAGGGAGGCCCAAAAAGTGCAGTGCTCTAATGAGAACCCAGGAGAGGCATTTAGAAGGTCATTCCGGACATCCTCCTGGATGAGGAAAGAAAATCCCGATAGAAGGGACTCTGTGCCAAGGTCAGGGAACTTGATGGCTTGAATAAAAGTAAAAGTGGCAGGTGGTTGCAGAGTTATGAGAAGCGAAAGGAGAACTAGAACCAAGTTGCTGGGAAGCGCCAAAGGCCGAGGTGTAAGACCTTATTCTGAGGGCAGACCTGTGAACTGGAGAGTGATAGTCTGTCCAGTCACTCTGTACTACAACACTTTGGAAGTAGAAACCAAACTGATCCAGTGAGACCATTTAAAAGAGCGTTTCTGAAGATATTCTGACAAAGTACATTTGACTTATTGCTCAGAATGTATACAGACCTGGACACAGATACAAACTGAAACAAGTTTCACAAAACAATACTTACTTTTCCTTTGTTTGAGCTATTGACATTTTCTAATCTACTTCATTTTTTAAGTAGTGAAATTGCATGACACACTTTAATTGATTTCACGACCTGTTAATAAGTCACCACTTGGAGCTTGGGAAAACTTGAATTAGGAAGTTTCTGTGGCCCTCCAGAGAGGAGGTAATGAGAAGCAGAAAGGTTGGTTGGAGGATGTGGGGTGATTCCAGTGGGATTTAAAGGACAGGAGAAAGGGACCCCCAAGAATTAGATAGTGCCCTAAGAATTAGAGATAGTGCCTGGAGTTTCTGTCTTGAAGTCCGGATAGGTTTTAAAAGAAGTCGCTTTCTGAGGCGGACAACATTAACTGGAAGCTCTATCAGAAAAAAAGTGTAATGAGAAATGCTGACTTCATTTGGTAAATATAAATATATCTCTAATTTGAGAGCTGTCTAAGTGTAACAGGGTGGACTCTGTTTTGTAACATAAGGTAAAACCACCTAAGAACTATTTTATATAATTCCAAAAATGCTCGAGTTTTACCAAAATTAGGAGCAAGTTCGTGGCAATGAAAAAGAGGAAATATTAATGCAGAAAATTCTGCTTCAAAAAACGTAAAGTCAAGCTATAAACCCCAGGAAAACAGTTCAAATCAAAGACTCACCTGGTGCTTCTCTTGGCTGTTTCAGGGCTTTTGTAAGGCTGAGAATAGACTCGGGACAGCCTCTCGCTTTTCACTTAACAAACATG